GTGCCTATGAGCTACACTCTGCCTGGCCGCTGCACGTGTGTGAGCCCTGATTGGTACCGGCTGGGGGGAGGGCTGTTGGAAACGCTATATAAAGAGCTGAAGTGTGTAATAGGAGACAGACAGAGACACAGACAGACAGACAGAGACAGACAAAGGAGACAGAGACAGCATCATAGTGAAGAGAATATGTGAGAGAATAAGAGAGAATAAAGGAAGAAAGAGAAACAGAAGCTTGAACCTCACCTTGGTGTCTGTGTCATCTTTCCTGGACTCTGCTGGACATACACAAAAAAGACTATACACTACAGAATAATTTTTTGATTTTTTTTTTGTTTTGTTTTGCTGTTATTGTTGTCTGAGACAGGGTCTCATATAGCCTCGTTGGCATGGAATGCACTAAATAGCTGAGTCTGGCCTTGAACTCCTAATCCTGATCCTGAGTGCTGGGATTACACCCACGCAAAACCATTTTCTTATTTTACAATTCTCTTTCTCTTTCTTTCTATGAAGTCACCAGGCTATCTCCCCCTTGGCCAGCTTTTGTTGAGACAGGGTCTCACTATTCCACTATATAACCCAGGTTGGACTCAAACTCAGGATCCTCCTGACTCTGCCTCTTAAATGCTGGGATTACAGGCATGCATCATTACACCCAGCTAAATTTACTTTTTTCTTATTGAAACTTCAATCAAAATCATATTTCAATGACATATTCTAAAGGTTTGATAAAATGAAGTTGTATCTCAATGAACCTGAGCTGACGTAGCTGTGCTATTTTATTCCTATCCTCTCTACTTTACTTAGCTGAAGATTAGATGCAGCTCAAGCTCGGTGCAGGTTAAGTCAGGCTGATGGGTAGCTCTAACCTAGAAAGCATACATCTGATCACACGAGATTATCAACCCATAAAGGAAAATCCTCTTGCACAGTATGTTTATGATACTATTAGTGTAACTTTCTCAACAGATTTCAGGACCCCTAATGGCATGGATAGTGTCTTCTCCATCCATAGGTGCCTAACAGGAGTTACACCATATTCTGTAAAGGGAAGGTCACCAACCAACATTTCCCCCATGGTCCCACAGAATCCACAGAGAAGTGGCTCTTATAGCTTCTCCCAAATATGGCCATATCCTGCTCAAAGACACCTGACCATCAGACTGGCAGCCTAGTAGGAGGCTTAGCCTATGAGCTCTGGTCATAACAGCAGGAAACATCACCAAAGGTTAATGTGTCCCCAGTGTATGGAGAAGCAAAAAGTGAGAAAGCTGAGTGACTGATTGCCACACTGGTGTATAACTGACACTCACTGGACAAGAAGCTGCTGGTGCCAGCTGCTTGGGGACAAGGCCATTAAGTTCAAATTTGATAGAATGTCCCATTATTTGATTCTGAATGACCTTCCTATTACCCACAAGTTCCAGCTTCCCTGAGGTCTGTCTTATTTCCCCCATGTCCTGCATATTTAGAAAACATGTTCATCCCTGGGCCACCCTGGAGTCCAGGAGCGACACTGCTGAGCAGCATCAAAAAAGTTGACAGACACAGAAGAGAATCTTGAGTTCACTGAACTGAGCAACATACTAAAATGCTATACATTAACCTCAGTCTAGTGCTTGGGAAGAAGAAGCAGAGACATAAACATGCCTCATGCCAAGAAGAGAGTTCTGTGTGCTACAAAGAATGCCACACAGCACACTGTGCAAAGAACAGATCATAAAATGAATGAAGGAAGAATGTCTATGTGACCAGGGAAGAACTACAAACTACAATCAGAGCTTTCAGGGAAGGCTTCACAGAGGTGGCACTCTACCCTGACTGAGCCTTAAGGATAGAAAAAGGAGAAGAGACCATTTCCTAGGATAATATTGAGTGTGGACTAAGTGAAAACAGGCCCCTGACAAAGGAGAGGCCACTCTCCAGGGAAGGCCCACCTCATCTCTGAGTTGGTGTTCTCATCTGTTAGACTAACTGTTCATTCTCAATCTGCAAGGCTCTTACGAGGTATAAACAGTGTGAAAGCTAGGGCACAGGGCTTGCCTGGAATGGTGCTCAGTATTGTGATCAGAGCTCTCACTCTGAAGGGCCCAAGTACCATGCTTCATGGTCAGAGCTCTCACTCTGAAGGGCCCAGGTGCCATGCTGCATGGTCAGAGCTCTCACTCTGAAGGGCCCAGGTGCCATGCTGCATGGCACTGTAATTGATGGCAAGAGCAGAGCAGTGAGGATGTGATGTTATCAGATCTGTGCTCTAGAGTCCTGAAAAGAAGTAGTAAAAGGAGATCAGAAGCAAGCAGACTAATTAAGGGTCCTATAAAACCCCTCAGGGGATTTCAGAAAGTGTGAACTTCAGGCAAAGCATTCCAAAGGAACACCTGCCAGGACAGGACCTGATCCGTGTGTATGCATGCATGGTCACACAGAGGCTGGAACTGCTTAATAAGCAAAAGAAACTTCCCAAAGCAATGGAAATCCTGGGCCTGAATGGCTATGATTATGGGAAAGGGGCTGAGACAGAACCCAAAGACGCAGGTCAAGCATTTTAGATAGCTCTCAAATAGCTAAAGTTGGCACAAGGAACACAGACTGCCAAATCTGCCACCAACACCAAATGTCAGCTAAGCCAGGGGCCGTGGAGGAAGTGCATAGCCTCAAAAAAGAAGATCAGATTCAAACCCCAAGGGGGTGGGTGAGGAGCAGGAAGGAGTGCGGATGACAGGGGCCAGAGCTACAGCAGGGGAGGACTTTAAGAGGGCCTGGTGGATAGAATGAATGTAACCAACCAGGCATGCAGAAGAGCAAGTGAGATGAGGCCTTAACAATTTTGCTAGAGTAGACAGCTAACCCTCATCTGCTAAGATGTGCCAAGGAGTAAAATCAGGAGCTAAACACTCAGCATGTACTGAGAGGCACAAGATCTATATCCTTAAGATTATTATCCCTTTTCATCATTGGAAATGGACAATAACTATTTCTCAAGAATGAGTGAATCCTGAGAGAGAATCCAGGAAACAGGAGAGTGAAGCAAGCTCCGCTCACCTGAAGAGTCTCATCAGGTTCAAGGAGGTGGGTCACAATGACATGAACACACGGTAAGAAACAGAACAAGACCTAGAGGAGGACAGTCTGTGAGAAGTGGAATGGCATGGGCTTCTGCTGGGCTGGCTGCCAGCTCACTCTAGCTTCCTACCCTGGGTGCTGCTCCACCTGGCTCACAGAGGGCTCCTGGAAGCCATGTTCACCCCTACCCTACACCCCACCTCCAGCCAACAACCTGTGGTCCAAGGTGGGAATCTGACCTCAGAGGACCCCAGGTTCTTTCTCTAGGACTGATGAAAGAGAAAAAATAATCTCTCGCCAAGTAATTAGACTTTGGGGGGACGACAGTAGGAACTGTCAGCAATCATATTTTATGTCATGTAGACAAGCTCAAATAAAAGAATGTGATACAAAGGTCAAGAAATACCTTGTAATTACACCTGTCATATGTAATTGCCTGTCTAATTGAGCTAATATTAACAAGGAAGTTAAACGAATCAAGACAATGATCTGATCAGCCTCATCTTCCTCTGCTCTTCACCACAGCAGGCACTGCTGTCTCATCTGCAGGCTAGACCACCCCAGCTGAGTGAAACTGGCGTGGCGGCCTATCAGCAGCAGTATACCTCTACATGATAGGGCATTAAGTTTTCCAACCACAGACATGGCAGCTGGGACCAGGAGATAGGTCTAGAACATCCCTAGGACTCAAGATCCAAATGCTATGCAAAGTACACCCCATCCCACTCACTCCCACACGGTGCTCCACACTCCTGCCCTCTTCCACTCACTCACATCCTTTTACTCTCACACACTCATGTGTCACAACCCACATGAACCCACAGCTACCCACCCCAAACCCTATGCCAGGATGGACCCCATACCCTGTTCCCTTCAATGCTTCCCTCAGGGAGTAAGCAGTGATGTTCAAGCAAGGAAGGAATGAAGAAAAGAATGGTCTAGCAGAGTGTACCCTGGGCCCAGCTTAGTATTGCTAACATTCCCGAATGCCATGTACCACAGCACACTAAAGACGACAAATCTTTCCATTTACAGAAGATTTCAGAAGTCATGTACATCAACTACTATGGGCAGAACTAACAAGAGGCAAATTTTTCCAATCTCTATGCCATATTAAAAGACAATGAAGGGCCAGGCATGGTGGCACACACTTTAGTTCCAATACTCGGGAGGCAGAGGCAGGCAGATCTCTGTGAGTTCAAGACCAGCCTGGTCTACATAGTGAGTTCCAGGCCAGCTGGAGCCACAGGGAGACCCTGCCTCAAATTTGTTTAGTAGCAAATAAAAAAAAAAAAAAAAAAAAAAAAGACAACGAAGGGCAGCTATAAGCCACCGACAGACACTAATCAGGTATTAGTCTAAGACAAGATGTAGGCATTATACTTTTCAGCACAACTAAACCTGTTTGGAACAATTCTTCAGCTTAATAATTTTTAAGAGAGAAAGAAGGACGTGAAAAGATAGAACAGAAGGTCTGTGTGACTTGGCCACAAAGGAGAGACCTGGAAAAGAGTCAAGGACTCTTCCTGTGATGGTTAGCTCTGTAACTTTACACAATCTAGAATCACCTGGGAGTCTCAATGAAGGACTGCCTAGATCAGGATGGCCTGTGGGCATGTCAGTGGGAGACTGTCTTGATGGTGTTAACTGATGTGGGTGTGGGTCCTGGACTGTGTAAGAGTGGAAAAGTGAGCTGAACAGTAAACGTGCATGCATTTATTTCCCTCCAGTCTTGACTGTGGATGCAATGTGACTGTTTTATGTTCCTGCCCTGATTTCTCCATAATCGTATGCTGTACCCTGGAACCGTAAGCTAAAATAAACCCTCTGACCCCTAAGCTTCTTCTGTCTGGGCATTTTTATCACAGCATCAGAAATGAAGCTAAAGCACCTCCAAAGAAAATTCCAGTAGACATCTTGGTGATGGAGATGACAGCTAATGAAAAAGGGCAACAAGCAGCAAATCCAGAGGTGATCACAGGCAGCCTGAAGCCAAGAGCCCAACAGCCTGTGAAAGGCTGAAAAGCCATCTTGGGTGCACATGAGGATGCCTCCTGACTGGTATCTCCGTAACTACTATGTCCCTATGCAACACACAGAACGATCCTCATAGAACCCAAGTACAGGCAATCACGACCTTACCCCGCTCTCCACAGCTCCCAGCTGGGTGCCCGAAGGAATCTCCCCCATGTAGCATAATGCCACCCATCAGCTGAGCCCTGCCAGCCTTTTCCTTTTCATCTCCACTGCTTTCCAGGCCACCAAAACTGACTTGGCCTGGCACCAACCTACTCTGTACCATACCATGTCAGGTGGAAGAGATAAACTCTGAGCAAGACCAAGTCCCAATCTTTGTGGAGCTTACAATGATAGGAGACATATAATAAGCAATATTTGAATATGCATAGAAAATTAGCGTAACTGCAAAGCATGTAAATCAGCACAGCACAAGGGGACATACCTCCTTGGTGACAGTTTCTGGACACCCCTCAGTTGGCTGAAGCTAAAAAGCAGTCTTCTAGGCTACTTCAGCACCTTAATGCACTGAGTATGTGTGAGTCCCCAGGCTCAGGGAATGTATGAATCACCTGTAGCCAGCAGGCGGCTTAGCATATATAAATGTATAAACAGTAAGAGGCCAAAAAGACAAGTTGAATTGAACTGCTGTTTAAAATATTAGTCACCAATAGAGTAAACCATTCATATTAACACTTAACATGGGGGCCAATGCGATGGCCCAGTGAGTAAAAGTGCTGGCCACCAAGTCTGATTGACCTGAGCTCAATCACCAGGATACACACAGTGGAAAGAGAAAACTGACTCTGGCAAGTGACCCTGTGACTTCTGTATATGTACCAGGATATGTGCCCCCTACACATGAAATAATTTTTGGGGGGCGGGGGGAGTCTTGAGTTTTTTGAGACAGGGTCTCCCCGTAGACCCAGCTGTCCTGGAACTTGCTTTGTAGACCAGGCTGGCCTTGAACTCACAGAGATTCATCTGTCTTTGCCTCCCGAGTACTGAAATTACAGGCATGTACCCACCATGCCTGGCTCCAAAATAATTATTTTTAAAAATCCTTTAAAATGGGGGCTGGAGAGATGGCTTGGCAGTTAAGAACACTGGCTGTTCTTGCAGAAGACCCAGGTTCAAATCACAGCACCCATATGGCAGCTAACAACTGTCTGTAACTCCAGTCCCAGGGGATCCAACAGCCTCTTCTGACCTCCGTGGGCATTGCACAACATGGGTGCACTTACCTACATGTAGGCAATATACGCATACACATAAAATAAAAATAATAAATCAAATTTTTTTAAATCCTTAAAATGGAAATTATTACAGGTTACAGTAGAAACTTCAATTTCACAAAAAAATCCAAAAAAAAGTATGTTACATAATTTTCATAAATAAACTAAATACAGCCTCACACTGAAAAAGCAATTTAAAAAGGAGCTGCCTGTATCAAGAGAAAAATAGCAGAGCAAGAAACAGGACAAGTAGGTAATCATGAACTCCCTCAGTTAATTACAGGCTAATTTCCACCCCCACACTGAAAAGGAGCATCATGGAGAATCTAGGACACCAGATGGCCCCAGAAAGAAGGCACGCCGTTCTGCCAAAGACTAGCTCTAGGTTATAGCTGCAAGTGCACACCTAAGGAGTGTCCAACAGTCCCAGTGTGTATGTGGAGGGTGCTGGAAAGACGCCCTTACCTCTGCGTCCAGAGTGGCTGAGGCCACAATCAACCGAAGATCCCCACGCTTTTTCTGAATCTGAAAAAGAAGGCACCAGGAAATAATGGTAATAGTGCAATAATTACAAACAAGATAAACTGCTGCTGATGTTTACTTCAAAATAATACAATGCAAAAGTCCAAGCCAGGCTTGGTGACATATGCCTATAAACCCCAGCATTCAGGAGATTGAGGCAGAAAAGTCACAAATTCAAGACCAGCCTGAGCTAGACAGCAAGGCCCAGTCTAAAAAATAAATGGTGGGTGTGGTGGTGCAGGCCTTTAATCCCAGCCCTCAGGAGGCAGAGGCAGGTGGATCTCTGTGAGATCAAGGCCAGCCTGGTCTACATAGTGAGTTCCAGGCAGGCTGGGGCTAGGGAGACCCTGTACAAAAAAAAATGTGTATGGTAGAAGTCGTTTATCAGTGAAACAAGAATGGCTCCAAGTTACTGTCATGGTCATAAGTAAAAGTGAGATAACATTATTCCTAATTTGGTAGATGTATAGAATTTTCTAAAATATGAAGTTAACAAAAGTTTTATGCAAAATATAAAGTGGATTTAGGGTTTTAAGGCCTGAATGTGAAATTATTGAAAATAAAACCACTTTTTCCTCAGGTGTGGGTTTGGGGCTAGTCTAAATCTACGTATACCACTCACAAGTATGAAAAAGTATATTAAAACCAAAGAAAGAGCAAGTGAGGGCACCAAGACAAAAATACAGATACTCGTGGTTATTCAAAGACACACAGTCACCAAGCACAGGAGAGACCAGTTAACTGCAGCACTGTGTGCAACAGCAGTGAGGATGGACTGTTCCTCGGCCACACTGAAGGACAGAGTTTGGAAGGCTGATACTCAGGGCTAGCAAAGACTCAGAGATCTAGCCTCTTGTTCCTGAGAAGGAAGGGAACAATCTGGTGAGAAAATACCTAGGGACCAAAGTCTCACCACCACCAAAAGCTGCATAAGGAAAATAACAATGACAACAGTGGCTTACATGGTCATGGTTACCTGCTCCTACAGAGCACTCTGTGGAGTCATATGTGCACACTGCAGAGACACCTGGCTGAGCAGGCAACAGGGGTCTGAAACCTAACCCTTCTTCTCCCTACTTCACTGTGGACATCTTCACAGAGGGCATCCCTTCCTTATTTGCACAAAGGAACACGCTACGACATCATCCTAAGAATTTCATTCCTTATTTAAGCCTCATGACAAATCATGAAGCACAGAAGCTCTGTCCACCAGACTTCCTCAGGCAGCAGCCACTGTCCAGGCAGCAGCCACCAGCCACACATGGGTAGGAAGTCTTTGAAATAAACTAGTATGGTAGAAAAATCAAATCTTATACCCCATTCCACTTTAAATCTAAATAGCCCCAGATGGCCAGTGTCTACAGTATGGGCTGGTGTGCCCAGACACAGGAGCAGCAGGCCATTCAGAGACGGCTATGACACCAGTCAGAATTTGAACCCAGGCAGTCCTCCCAAAGCCCAGTTCTTGGTCATCTTGATCTACTTTTTTCTAGGCTACTATCACTGGGAATTTGTTCAGCAAAAACGATAAAAAGATAGGGGTAGGGAGAGTGGAGGGAACTGATAAAGGCAGATAACACAAAAAGGTCACGGTAAGCCTCTATCTACTCTGAGGTATGTCTGGAATATGTTTTTTAAAAAAGAAGTTAAAGAGGGCTGAAGAGATGGCTCAGCGAGTAAGAGCACTGACTGCTCTTGCAGAGGACCTGGGTTCGATTCCCAGCACCCACATGGCGGCTACGAACTGTCTTTAACTCCAGTTCCAGGGGAATCCGAAGTCCTCTTCTGACCTCCGCAGCACTGAATGACACAGTTGCACTCACGTACATGCAGGCAATACACTCATATACATAAAATAAAAATAATAAATAAAATATTTAAAAAAAAAAAAAGAAGTTAAAGAAACAAATGCAGTGCTCACTTAGTGGCAGGGGCCCACTACAGTGGGACCTAGAATACTGAGAGCTGGGAGACACACGCCTAGCAGGAGAGGACACACTAATGTATTACGGCAGACACAGATAGTCTTTATAAACAGTGTCTTCAAAGAATATTTGACGGCACAGAGAACTGGTCTTGATGTGACACTAAGAGAAATGTGCAACATACAAACCAGCGCACACAGTGCGGTCCCCAGCATGCCAAGGCAGATGCACGCAGACACAGCAAAGAGAAGACAGCAGCAGTCCACCAGGGATTTCCTCTGAATGGGTGGGGTGATGGTGGAGTTTTTCCCTTGTATTGGCTAGAGTTTCCAAATTCTTGTAATTGCTTTCCTAATCGGGCAGCAACACAAAAACACAGAAAACAAAATGCTGGCCAAAGTCTTACCTTCTTCAGCAAGCCAATGGCAATGTCAGTATACAACGTCCTCTCGTGGGCTTCGTCCAGCATGATGGCACTAACGATCAGAAGGACACTTGGTGAGCACTGAAACAACACCCCACACATCCCACCCAGACCACCAAAGGGACCTCTGGGTACTCAGCCCTCGAATCAAGAGAAAACCAAAGTCCCTCTTCATCAATGAGGTCATTCTTAGACTATAAACATGGTGATTTCAACACACCTCGATGGAGAAAATGGTCATGTATTGATACCTCTAAAGACCGTTAACACCCACAGAGATTCCAATGGAATTTAGCAACTGATTTTAAATGGTACACATAATCTATCACCCTACAGAATACACACACAAAAAAATAGCAAAACCCAGCCACCTTAAACTATAGTTAAAACTATGAAAATGGCCAAAAAGGGAAGATTGAAGCTATGAAACACATGTACCAGGGGGTCAAACTCTCTCTCAAGTACCATAGAGCCTGGGGGAGCCAAGTAATGGGCAAGACACAGAGAGAGAAAGTGACAGACTATTATCTGGACTCTGTGTTGCAGTCAACAGAACAAAAGCCAGAGGATGGGAACAGAGCACTTGCCTAGCATGTGTGAGGCCCTGAGCTCCATCCGCAGCACCACAAAATGGAAAAGGGATGGGGGACCCCAACACTGGCCTATTGGTTCTCTGCTGGACTGGGATTCTGTGGTTAATATCGATCATGGGGGGTATCAAGGCAAGATAAAGAACAAACCAGCAGGCTGTGTGTGCGACAGACTCATGTGCCCATTTCTATTCTTTACTGTAGTCTATTTAACACAAAAGCCCAGTATCTGCTGCCTGTAAGAGGCCCCATCATCAAAAGCCTGAGAAAAACATCAAGAGTTGAAACAGCCGCCATCAGGAGGAAAGCTGACGGCAGGTGAAGACAAACATGAATCTCCGCTGTTAACCCAACTGCTTCACAATGTATATGTGTACTTTGTAAACTTTAGAAAAGCTATCATAGGAAAATTTTGAAATCTTTAAGAAAGTTATCATAGGAAAACATGTTTACCTATATTTTGTTAACAATGGATCCACCATCATTTCCCTGACCAGCATTCCATCGGTAAGAAACTAAAAAATAAAAATACAAAATTACAGTCATTTATTTACACTGCGCATTAATGATTTCTTTAAGTTCAAGGGCAACTCTGACAAGTTCAAGTACAATCTCTGAGTTTATGTACAAGAACAATCCAGCAAGGGCTATGAGGGAATGCCCCAACAGTTTAATTTCTCAAGCAATGCAACTGTTCACAGAGATCCCAAACAGGTACTTTTACTGGGAGTGTATATTGTTTAGCATCACCTCTGTGTTACTTGACCTGGTTGCTAGTATTAAAATAATGAGCATCAACAGTATCAGTATCTAGTCAACTTGACAGTGAGTGCACATCAGCTGGGTCCTCTTCCTCGGGGCTGCACACTAGCACTGCTCTGGCAAGCAATGAAGAGAGCCATGTACACCCCAGCACACACTGTGAGTCTGAGACGACATCTCACAATGTCCCAAAAGCTGCACAGGGAAGTTCTTCAGGTTATAAACCTGTCCCCTGATACTAGAATTGAGGTTAAGAACCTGGGCTATGGAGTCAGGAAGCTGAGAATTCAGATCCTGGCTCTACCTCTTACTTGCCATAAGTACTCTGGTCATTGGAGTATCGTTCCTCACTTACAAAATGTGGTAATATACGTACTTCAGAGTTACATAAGACAGAACATACAGAAGGTTTAGCACAAGACCTAGTACACAGATAACATTCCAGAAATGTCAGTCATTTTGGACTAATGAATGCTTATAAAATGCTTCAGAAGCAAGCAGTAACAGGTGGCTGCTAATTATTCTCACCCCAAAACAAATTCAGTGAGTTAATAATGCTAAACATCTCCCTCACGAGCCTCATCTTAGTGTTTTCACTTTCCTGCTTTGACTAGAAGAGCGGGATATGCCTCCACCATGGTTTGCTTGGCCCTGGTACCAGCTGCCACACGCATACAAAGAAGCCCAAATGAAAAGCTGAGTCCAGGGACAACTCACCAGTCAAGAACTGATGTGAGTGCAGAGACTTCTAATGAAGGACTCAAAAAGAATCATCTGGCTACATAACCACTGGATACTCACTGCTTTACATAAAGGTATAAACAAATATTCCCTTTACCTGACAAAATCATATCAAAAATTTGAAAAACAAGGTCCATATTCTACAAATCGCTAGACTGTTCTTTTAGCATATCTGATTCATTTTAATTTTCCTCTGGTACAATTTGAAAGGACACTAGGAGTTAATAACCAATCTTCGTTTCATCAGAGCATTTTATTCATTGTTTTACTGCACTGACTCTTAATGATTCCAGCTTGGTGGTAAACAGGAGACTCACAGTTGAGCTAATGAGACACTGATTACTACTGATATAATTCTTTAATAGTAGCAAGTAGGTCAAGTAACACAGGGTAAAATCCATTAACATGTCAAAATAAGACAGTTTAACAAAAGCATCATTTATGAATTCTGCACTGTAGGGATTGACACTAGCTCATTCCTGTGTTTGCCTTTAACAAGTTTGTTTCTATATTTAGTAGCAATGTGAGTCAGCAGAAAAATAATGGAACTGGCATAAGAAAAGGCAGCTCTGGAGACTGCAGGATAGCTCAGCAGTTAAAAGCACTGGCTGCTCTTATAGAGGACCCGGGTTCAGTTCCCAGCACCCATATGGCAGCTAACAACCGCCCATAACTCCAGTTCCATAAGATCAGATGCCCTCTTCCGACCTCCGTGGGCAATGCATGACATAAATGCATTTGCACACATGCAACACATGCAGGCAATATACTCATATACATAAAATAAAAATAATAAAATATATTTTTTAAAAAAAGGAAAAGAAAAGGCAGTTCTGAGTCCTGATACCACTCCATCTCCCGAGCCCTCAGTTTTGTCTGCTAAAGTCCAGGGGAAACCTTACTTCCAAGTTCTTTTCTGGGTTAGGACTCAAGGACTCTTTCAAAGAGCCCTGCACCAGCCAGAAGACAAAGTTCCCATGTGCTTTCCGCCCTGGCCTGCATCCTATCCAGCAGCAGGACAGCAGCTGTCAGTCCCCACAGAGAAGCTTCCTTATTCACACTAGGAAAGTAACTTGGGCACTTCACCTTAATCCTGGTGGCCAGCGGGTCAGTGCAGTCATCAAAGCGGATGCAGTAGCCCACCTCGTGGCCCAGCACTGCACCTCTTTCATCAGCTACTCTCCCTGCAACCTTTGGGAAGAAAAAGTATGCTGAAAATAGAGACACAGCAATTACTGCACAGAGCACAGACTATGGAAAGGGTAAAAGTCATATCAAATAGAGTGTGAACATATGGGAAGTGAGGATAGGGACAGCTGTGATCAGCTAAGACAACTCTCTTCATTCCATCTTGGTCTTGGGGCAACTTGAAAAGCAGACAGAATAAAATCTCATAAAGATGTCACAGATCAATATCAAAGACACTGAGGTAGGTACAATTCAGTCGTAGAGCTTGCCCTTCTTGTGCAAGGGCCATGGGTTCAACGTCCAGCACCAGAGGAAAGAAGAAGAGAGTCAAAGGAACTCTATGTAGAATTCAGGAGATCTAAGCCAGCAAGAAAAATTAAAACACAGATGTACTAAGAATACTTAAGATAATCCACAAGTTAAACTCTAAAGCTAAAGACGCAGTTCAGCAGTAGAGTATGTGCCTAGCACGTACAAGGCCCTTGGTCTGACCCCCAGCACTGCAATAAATAAGTAAAATTCAACTCTAAATTGGTGGCCAAAGCAAGAAAAGCAAAGGAAATGATGGGCCTTCACCACACTCCTAGAGAGCAGAGCAATCAGGGCAACTGAAAATAAGACGCTCTCTACTCAGCTAGGGAGGCAAGAGACCAGGAGTGATCAACACAACAGTGGGCCAAACGTGTTCTAAGAGCCAGATACTGAACCCAATTCTCAACGGTGTTCCAGCTATCACAAAAGTCCTACAAGGGGAAATGAAGATAGGAGCAGGGGTTTAGAAAGGATAGACAAGTGGACAAGAGGACAAAGAAAGGATCCAAGTGAGCATAGAAAGCACAAGGCAAGAGAACACAAAGACCACCAACCACGGCCCTCACACAAAGACAGAAGCTTCACCCGCTGCTGCAGATGAAAGGGGAGTCCAAGGGTGTGGCAGCACACGCCTACAACCCCAGCACTTGGGAGGCTGGAGCAGGAAGATCACAGCAAGACTCTATCTCAAAAAGAAAAGGCATGAGGGGCATGCTAAGGAAATGGCTTCAAGCACAAGGACCTGAGTCCAATCCCAGCACCTGTGTCAAAAAGCCAGGCATGTTCGTGCCAGCTTGTAATCTCAACACTGGGGAGGCAGAGACAAGCAAATTCCTGAGGCTCACTGAACAGCCAGGTTGGTCTAATCAGTGAACCCCAGGCTGCTGAGAGACCCTGTCTCCAGAAGGCAAGGTGGATGCACCTAAGGTTGTCACAATTGTCCTCTGGCCTCTGCATGCAAGGTGTACACACACACACACACACACACACACACACACACAGTGTAAAGACAAAAAAAGTCCACATGGCCAAATCCCTGAACTACCCCCAAAAAGGCAATTCAAAGTTTATTAACTAATAGACAATATTTGAAATAGACAAAAGCCAGACACAGCAGCTCATGTGTGTAAACCAGCTCCTTGGAGAGAGGACTGTGGACCGAGACCAGCCTGGACAACTAACTCATTGAGACCTTCCTCTACCATCTCAAAAACAAATAAAAGCAAAAGGCAATCATGTTTATTAATTTAATTTTTTTCATAAGCACTTCACAGTCACCATCTAAACTACTCAACTGAAAAGAACAAAGGGAAGCAATATGAACACAGGCTCCTAGGGTCCAACGAACCAAGCCATGTGGGGCAGCTATGCAGTCCCCCTCCTTCAGACCAGGGAATGCTGGCCCCACTGGCCACTGAACTTAAGCTGGAATATGGCTGCCCACAAGGGTCCTGAGGCAAGGCTTACAAACAGCCTTTGGTCCCCAGCAGCCCAGACTCAGGAGCAAAGAGACTCCCTATACTCAGCCTTCTAGCCAAACACACCCTAGCATTATCTGCCATCAATGTGTAAGAAACTGACAAGCAGATGAGGATCAGAAGTGGCTCTGCCCAGTGACTTGAAATTACAGATCTGGCAAGGCCAAAATAGAATCAATCATCAAGCAGCTAGTCCACGCCACGTCTTTCAAAACATCTTATGAAACCAGAAATTCACCCTGCGTGGCTCTGCCTTGGGAAGGTTTATTTCTCCATGCCCAGAATTTCACCAGGACAGTTTTGTTATGGTTGTTGTTTCAAGTTAACCTGTGCATCTCAGAAAATGATACAGAGAACGTGTGCAGAGACACACTGGGAACCTGCAGGAAAAACAGGCCTGAATGAGAGAAGAAACAAACCAAGTTCTTCATAAAAACCACCACTTTACTGGCACATAAAGTAAAAAGTCAAACATCTATTCCTGTTATTTCATTATTTGTCTAACTTTGCATTACAAAGTATGGCTTTAGCTAAGTTTGGTAGCACACATCTATAATCTGAGCACACAGGAAGCTGAGGTTGGAGGACTGCCAGTTCAAGGCCAACCTGGGCTACATGGCAAGAACTTATCGTCAAATAAATTCATTTTAAACTTTCTGTATCATCACCTATAATCACACGTAGTATTTTGTTAGCTTTAAAAAAAATGTTTCTATTACACTTATTTATTTACTATGGATCTGTGTATGCCATTGTGCTGGTGTGGCGGTGGAGGGCCTGCTCTGGAAGTCAAACTTGAACTGGTGAGGACAGTGCTCATGCTCACCACTAACTGCCTCTCACAGAGATGGAGCACTGCTTGTGCAATCTGTTGTTCTCAGGCTCTGAGACTTTCCAGATTCCAGTGTGCACACAAAGTACATATTTGAGACGTGGCGACAGCTCCATTACTGCTTCACGGCTAATTTATACATCCTTTGTTCTTTCAAAAGAAAGCTTGTGGTCACATGGGACATTATCCACAGCTACAAATTCAGACCTAAAATGCAAACTGATTACTAGCTAGGATTAAAATAACATACAAGGAAAATTGCTCTAATTTTTAGCTAACTGAGTCATCTTTCAGTTAACTCTGTCACTGCAGTTTCCAAACTTATCCCCCCCCACACACACACACACACACACACACACACACACACACACTTCTTGTAATCCCAGCACTCTGGAGGTAGAAGCAGGAGATCAGAAAGTCAAGGTCAGCCTGGGTGACACAAAGACCCTGACTTAAAAAGAAAGGTTTAAATTGTAAAAAAATTGTCCAAAGAAAGGGAAGCATTCAAACCAAAGAAATTTCATGTCAAAGAAATCCCAAGTTCAAGCTAAAACTAGGAAGAGACTCAGAGTCAATGGTGACTCAAGGATAAATAAGTCTTAGTGAGTAGATCAGAGGTCAGCTTTGGGAAAAGCTCTAGACCTCACAGCAAAGACAGAAAGAAGCTAAGTTTTTCCCAAATTTGAGAATAATTCTAATAGTTTATACAATTCTACAAATAATCAGTTACAAGCTAAAGGCACTTTTCTAATGTGTCAATAATAAAATGTAAACATGTCAGCCACACTAGACAGAGGACAGGAAAATAACAGAAAATCACTGTTGTGTGAAGAACAGACAGTTGATGGAAGGCAGCCAAAATTAAAAAAATTTACACAAATGTGTCTGTCAGCAGATTTAATGATAAAAACACCATGCTCATTTTCTGGATGTTTCTCATGTTTACGACATTACCATCTTTTAGTATTTGTAATATATTGCATAAGCTTGCATTCTAAATATTTACTTTTATACTGAAAAAATTCAAAGAAGTGGTTATGAGGCTCAGGTGCTGATAAAAGGGAAAAAAATGGAATAAAGATGACTAAAAATTACTGGGCACAGGCTGGAGATATGGAGCTGAGAGAGGACACCTACTGTCACAGTAGTATGGGCCCTGGGCTCAACCACCAATTATGAATACTAGGACAGGTTTAAAGGAAACTCACAAAACAAACCAGAGATGATAGGGTAAGTTCAGGGACAGCGATCAACAATAAAAAACAGACAAAGGAGATGAAGACTTAAACAGCATACTTAGAAGAGGGAATAAAGTATTTAGAACACTAAAGTAAACTACAACAGAAGAAAACTCCCAATATGAAGATGATTAAGAGTTATCCGCATATAGGAGCTATAGGAGAGACTAATACATAGCCTTGTGGAAAAGAGACCTATCAGCCTCCAAGCAGACAAAGCAAGCCAGGAAGGTGAGGGCGCCCCACCGCATCAGCACCAACAGACACAGTGACAGAGTCCCAGTCTGCAGCTGTCAGGAAACCAGAGCGTGAATGAAGGGAAGGGGAGGAGGGAAGGGGAACAGGAAGGAAAAGGAAGAAGGTGAAGAGGGAAAGCAGTGAGGAAATGAGGAGAGAAAAGGAAGGGAAGAAGAACCTTTTTATTAAGATCACATTCAAATATTCTCCAGTATGGTTTTTAAAGACTACTGAACAAGAAACAAAGGAAAATGAGAAATTCAGGGTTGGTAAATCATGGAAAATAATTAGTGCTGAACATTCAATCACACGAACTTCAACATCTGTGGGAATTATGATGAAAAACACTGTAAATCTTAAAAAGAAAATTATGGTACTGCATGTACAGCACATGAAGGAAAGGGCAGACAGACGAGTGTGCTGATCTCTTCTTTCATAACAGGAAACTGTATCACAGTGTGGAAACTAGGCCACATGTGGTGGCACACATTTGTGATCCCAGCACTCAGGATATGGACACAGAAGGACTGCTCAGAGTTTAAAACTAGCTTCAACTATATAACATGACTGTCTCAAAAAGGAAGAGAAAATTATCCTGAAAATACTAGGAAGGGTTTTTGTAACTGCTTTCTTTTCAATCTGTAATAAACTCATGGTAAGAAAACACTTACCAAAGTTCAGCAGCTACTCCTACTTTTCTGCTTCATTTCAGCTTTCTCTTTTATTAAACTCAACACAAGGAGATAAACAGCCAAGACCCCAGGTCTATAAAGTTACTGCTATCAAACCAGCCAGGCACTTATCTAAACACTCCTCTTTATCTTTTAAAGAAACCAGGAATGAAGCTCACAAACAATGCCTCTGCTGGAAGAATGAGTTTAAACATACTTGTTTGGTTTTCTTGAGCACTTTATTACTAAAATGTTCATAACGTACAGGTATCAATTTTATAAAATTTCAAATCAGAGTTATTCTCAAGCTATTTTAATATTTTTAATTTATTATTTTTAATTTGTGTATGAGTGTTTTGCCTGCACATATGTAAGTGCACCATGTACTTGCAATGCCCACACAGAGGCCAGAAGTGGGTGTCAGATCCCCTAGAAGTGGAGTCATGGATGGTTGTTAGCTGCCATGTGGCTGCTGGGAATCAAACTCAGGTCCTCTGGATGAACAGCAAGTATTTTTAACTACTGAACCATCTCTCAGCCCCAATAACCTAAATTCTTAAGGAGCAACTTTTATTCATTAGCATTTTTTTTTTTTTTTTTTTTTGTTTTTTTGAGACAGGGTCTCCCTGTAGCCCCAGCTGTCCTGGAATTCACTATGTAGACCAGGCTGGCCTTGAACTCACAGAGATCCACCTGCCTCTGCCTCCCCAGTGTTGGGATTAAAGGCGTGCTCTACCACGCCCGGCTCATTTGCATTTTTTTAGGAAATAGGAAAAGCATGTCAAGGAAACTGTGTGATATGCAAAGACTCACCGTCACAGCAGCCACTCTTCGAGGCTGGGTCACCCCGACCACTCTTCCTTCAGCTGTCCAGCCAGCTTCTGCCAGGTACTGCAAGTAAATCACAAGTGAGTAAATGAACACATATATATGACACTATTTCTCCAGACTAACCTCCCTGCAGATGACCCTGCACTGCACTAAGTCACTGAGAAAGTTCTTACTGCAGCATAATTTGGGCAATTATTTGACAATAACAGATCTGAGGCTTGACAGCATTAGGAAATTAAGTTCACATGTAAAGCAGAAAGCAGAACCAAGACACAGCTTCGGTATGGAGTCCCCAATGCTGAAGAACTTCCATGCACTACAGTTGCATCAAGGAAAAATAACTACTCAGGCGTCATCAGAACAGTGCTAAACCTGAAGAATAAACAACTTTAAAGTACACACAGAAATGAGACAATATAAAATGTCAACCACATAACGCATCTTAGTTAAACTTAATAAAAACAATCATCCACAACTATACAGAAACATGTCATTAGATTATATATTAATATATAATTAGATCAAATGTATTTATGTTATGTGTGTATTTAATGAAATCTAAGCATTTAAAACTCAATACAGACAACTGATTATCAGACTTAATTTTTTTCTTTTTTTTGAGACAGGCTCTTACTATGCATCCTTGGCTGGCTTGGAACTATGTAGACCAGGCTGGCCTTGAATTCACAGAGATCCACCCGCCTCTGCCTCCTGAGTGCTGGAATTAAAGTCGTGGGCCACCATGCCCAGAACACTTAAATTGCTATTGCATGTAAATGCTCACTGGTAATAAAAAAATAAAGATTAGACAGAAATTAAAGAGAATGGTTGTCTGCAGGGGTTGAGTAGAGGAAGTAGGAGAGGGCTAACAGAACTCTGGAAGGATCATCTCTGACGCAGAATCAGTTGTGTTTTACACAGTCTTCAAAATTCTAAAAGCCAAAACCAATCGAAATGTGGAAGAAAACCCAAAGCAAACACAAACAGATGACCCTCTCTGCACAAAGCCTCTAAGAGGAGGAGAAGAAAAGATCAACCCTACTCAACTATGGGCAGCAGAACCCTAGCTGGATGCGGAAAGGCTAGAAACAGAAAGAACTTCATAAATGCTGTAATCTAGGTGGTGGATGTTGACTGGTGAACACCCAAACACATAAGCACACTGTAGTAACAAGAAGTGAGTTTCTCACAGCTGAGGAAAGATACAAGTGAGGAAAACAAGTCCTGTGGCCTGGACTGGAATCAGAGTCATCAGCATAGGCTCGAAGTGTTTATTCTGTATGCAGACTGACACACACAGGTAAACAGATGCTGCCCATGCAGAGGTTAATCCTCATACTTAATGTCCAAAGCCATCCTGCCGGGACTCAGCGATGACACCTCAGTAGCAAAGAGCACCCATGCATCCAGATCCAGTTTGCTCCAATAAAAGGAAATAAAGCTCATACACAGAAAACATAAGATGAGCTGCATCTTGGGGTTCCCAGCAGTTGAGGTACTGTTCAAAAAAGGATGACGACTTTAGAAAGAAAATGGAGTCAAAAAGAAGGAACTGCTCATGTTAAATATGGAACAATTTGAGCAACAAAATAATCACAGTACTGGATTTTATACCATAAAACCATAGTTGCCCATGAATTGTAAGAACATACACAAGAAACCAAGTGAGTGACAAGGAGAGAGAGGACAGTTCCTTACACAGATCACCTTGAACAGAAGAACAGGGACAGTGGAAAAGAAAAACTTGCCGTTGCTGCAGACAAGGTTCACTGAGGGACACAGTCAAGAGAAAAGGGCCTGCTGGAGACGGCTCCTGGTTAAGAGCACTTACTGCTCTTCCAGAGAATCCCACATGACAGCTCACTACTGCCTATAAGTCCAGTTCTGGGGGACCCGATGTTTTCTTCTGGCCTAAGGGCCAACTACTACACACATGTGGTGCACA